CTGCTCACTGCAGCCTCCACCTCTCGGGTTCAAGCAATTCTCCTAACCCCCTCCCAAGTGCTGGGATTACAGGTATATGCCATCAGGCCTGGCTAATTTTTGTATTTTTAGTAGAGACGGGGTTTCTCCGTGTTAATTAGGCTTGTCTTGAATTGCTGACCTCAGGTGATCTGCCAGCTTCAGCCCCCCAAAGTGCTGGGAATACAGGCGTGAGCCACCACGCCCAGCCTGATTGAAGTGTACTTCTAATCGGCAACTACGTTTTTTTTTGGTTGGTTTGTTTGTTTTTGAGATGGAGTCTTGCTTTGTCGCCAGCCTGGAGTGCAATGACGCAATCTTGGCTCACTGCAATCTCCACCTCCCAGGTTCAAGCAATTCTCCTGCCTCAGCTTCCTGAGTAGCTGGGATTACAGGTGTGCACCACCACACCCAGGTAATTTTTGTATTTTTAGCAGAGACAGGGTTTTGGCCTGTTGGCCAGGATGGTCTCCATCTCCTGACCTCATGATCTGCCCGCCTTGGCCTCCCAAAGTGCTTGTATTACAGGCGTGAGCCACCGCGTCCTGCCAGGTTTAGTTTTCATATGGGTTTTTTGTTTTGTTTTGTTTTTGAGACAGAGTCTCTCTTTATCACCCAGGCTGCTGTGCAGTGGTGCGATCTTGGCTCACTGCAACCTCCACCTCCCAGGTTCAAGCGATTCTCCTGCCTCAGCCTCCTGAGTAGCTGGGACTACAGGCATGTGCCACCAGGCCCAGTTAATTTTTGTACTTTTAGTAGAGATTGGATTTCAACACGTTGGCCAGGCTGGTCTGGAGCTCCTGACCTCAGGTGATCCACCCGAGTCAGCCTCCCAAGGTGCTGGGATTACAGACATGAGCCACCACCCCAGCCTGGTTTTAAAATTGTGCAAGTAAGGATCCTTTGAAAGGGCCAAAAGACATTATAGGCCATGTGAGACAGAGATGGGCCACACCGTTCAGTTTGGCAGGGATATTCAGTACCTGCCATACCATCAATGGAAAGTCCCAACAAATACCAAAATGTCATCTTTCAAAGGATCCTTACTTGTACAATTTTAAAGCAGCTCATGCATAAGACCTGATCCTCTGCATTTCTAACTCACTTCCAGGTGTCATCCATGCTGCTGGTCAGTGGACAAAACTTAAGAGTGCTGAAGTAATAATAGATGGGGTTAGATAGGCAGACAGGGAACAGATCCCATGGGGCCTGGTGGGCCATGTTAAGGACTTTGATTGGATTTTGAGCAGAGAAGTGGTGTTTGGTGTTTCATTAGGAAATCTGTTTAGGCCGGCTCACATCTGTAATCCCAGCACTTTGGGAGGCCAAGGCAGGTGGATCACCTGAGGTCAGGAGTTCGAGACAAGCCTGGCCAACATGGTGAAACCCCGTCTCTACTAAAAATACAAAAAATATAAAAATACCAAAAAAATGAGCTGGGCGTGGTGATGTGCACCTGTAACCCCAGTTACTGGGGAGGCTGAGGCAGGAGAATCGCTTGAACCCAGGAGACGGAGATTGCAGTGAGCTGAGATTGTGCCATTGCACTCCAGCCTGGGAGACAAGAGCAAAACTCCATTTCACAAAAAGAAGTCTGCTCTGGCTCCTAGACAGAGAATAGATGGTAGAGTGGTATTAGGACATCAGTTTGAAAGCCATAGTAGTAGCTGGATGAGAGGTTCTGCTGGCCTGGGCTTGGGTGGCGTTAGTGGAGGTTGACAGAAGTTTGCATATCTAGAGTGTAGATGTGAAGACAAACTTTATTTCTTTCTTTGGAGACAGATTCTTGTTCTATCGCCAGGCTGGAGTGCAGTGGCACGATCTTGGCTCACTGCAGCCTCCACTTTCCAGGTTCAAGCAATTATCCTGCCTTAGCCTCCCGAGTAGCTGGGACTACAGGCGGGCGCCACCACACCCAGCTACTTAGACAAACTTTATTTTTGTAGTTGGGAGGGAGGACAGGGAAAGGCCTCACCATTCCCATTACTTAGTGGTATCTGGATGTAAACATAAAGGGTCAACTATAGGCCGGGCACAGTGGCTCACATCTGTAATCCTAGCACTTTGGGAGGCTGAGGTGGGCAGATAACCTGAGGTCGGGAGTTCGAGACCAGCCTAACCAACATGAAGAAACCCCATCTCTACTAAAAATACAAAATTAGCCAGGCATGGTGGCACATGCTTGTAATCCTAGCTACTTGGGAGGCTGAAGCAGGAGAATTGCTTGAACCCAGGAGGCGGAGGTTGCTGTGAGCCAAGATCGAGCCACTGCACTCCAGCCTGGGCAACAAGAGTGAAACTCTATCTAAAAGAAAGAAAAAAAAAAAACCCAAAAAGCCAAAAAACAAAAAACAAAGGGTCAACTGCAACACTCTTCAGTGCAGTAGAGTGTGTGGGTCTAAGAGCATATGATGGTAGAGGGGGTTCCCACACTAGTCTGAGAGCCTAGGGGAGGTTTCTCTGGGGGCTGATGCTCAGATTGAATCCTGAAGCCTGACTAGGAGCTACACAGGCAGAGGTAGCTCCTCTAGAGCGGCTGATGGAGTGAAGGTGAGAGGAGAGTCAAGAGTGAGTCCTATTGTCCACAGCCTCTGGGTGCTGCCTCTTACGCGGAGGAGGAAGGCTCAGGGGAGATGATTGGAGGGGAAGTGAAGGGTTATGTTTTCTGTTTGGCCATAATATGTTTGAGACGAATGAAGGTGTTGAGTAGGCCATTAGACCTCGGAGTCTAAAGCTTGGAAGAAAGGTCTGAATGGAACTTTGAAAAGTAGGCCGGGTATGGTGGCTCACGCCTGTAATCCCAGCACCTTGGGAGGCTGAGGTGGGTGGATCATGAGGTCAAGAGATCGAGACCATCCTGGCCACATGGTGAAACCCCGTCTCTACTAAAAATACAAAAATTAGCTAGGCATGGTAGTGCATGCCTGTATTCCCAACTACTTGGGAGGCTGAGGCAGGAGAATCATTTGAACCCAGGAGGCAGAGGTTGTAGTAAGCCGAAATCGCGCCACTGCACTCTAGCCTGGTTACAGAGCGAGACTCTGTGTCAAAAAAAAAAAAAGACAAATGTCAGAATAAGAAGGTTATGTGAAGCCCTAGATACAGAAGACATCACCTGGTTTCAGGGTGAGGGACAAAGTGAAGCAGAAGAGGAAGGCTCATAAGAAGAGTAGGCACTACCCAATTCCAAGGCACTACCCAATTATCAGGAGGAGGGAGAGCGGGTCAGTAAGGCGTGAGGAGAAAGAGGTTGATGTCCTTTCCTGGAAGCCTCCAGGAACAGGTATTTCAAGATAAGAGAGTGGTCAGCTATGTCAAAGGTCACTGAAAGTTTGAATAAGATGAGGAGGCTGGGCGCGGTGGCTCATCCCTGTAATCCCAGCTCTTTGGGAGGCCAAAGCAGGCAGATCAGGAGGTCTGCTAACACAGTGAAACCCCGTTGCTACTAAAAATACAAAAAATTAGCCAGGTGTGGTGGCACGTCCCTGTAGTCCCAGCTACCCAGGAGGCTGAGAAAAGAACTGCTTGAACCCAGGAGGCGGAGGCTACAATGAGCCGAGATCACCATATTGGCCAGGCTGATCTCCAACTCCTGACCTTGTGATCCGCCTGCCTTGGCCTCCCAAAGTGCTAGGTGATAGGATATCTTTCTCTCTCTCCGTGTGTGTTTTTGAAGGCAAGAGTATCATTTATTCGTTAGTTATAATCAGATATCATTTTTTTCCTTATTTTCCAAACATGCCCATTTTTCCTGTCTGGAAACACTACCATTTTGCAAATTGAATAAAGATTTTATTTCATCGAATGACACCTGATGTTTGACTCCTTTCTTTTTTAGCCATTAGTTCCAGCTTCCAGTTCATGGTGGTTTTAGGTCTCCTACTTTTGCTTCATAGAAATATGGGAAAACTCTCATGTTTTCAGATTCATTCCCTAATGTTTCGGCTTCTGATTGGAGCTTTTAAGTCATTAACATTTAAAGTCTTGAAGGAAAGAGTGTTTCTACACTGTGCACAGGGTACAGGAGGGCAAGTTGAGCTCCCAGAGTTAAATCCTTCAGTGTCTCTCCCTCATCTTCAGGTGCTGATCCACCTGATGGGAATATGCTGGGACTACAGGCGCCCGCCACCACGCCCAGCTAATTTTTTTTGTATTTTTAGTAGAGACGGGGTTTCACCATGTTAGCCAGGATGGTCTTGATCTCCTGACCTTGTGATCCGCCCGCCTCAGCCTCCCAAAGTGCTGGGATTACAGGCGTGAGCCACCGTGCCTGGCCTCTGCCTTTTGGTTTTTATTTCTTCTTTCTTTGGAGGCAGAAATTGGGCATAAGACAATATGAGGGGTGGTCTCCTCCCTTAAATATAGTATAGAGATGGGGTTTCACTCTATGCCCAGGCTGGTCTTGAACTACTGGCCTCAAGTGATCCTCCCACTTCGGCCTCCCAAAGTATTGGGATTACAGGGGTGAGCCACTGTGCCCGGCCAAGAGGACAGATTCCATCCCCAGTGATTTCATCCCCACTCCAACCAGTCAGTAGCAAGTCTAGCCACCTCCACCCTTTCCCCCAAACTGCCCTTGAAAAACCCCTACCTACGGACCTTGGATGAGAATAATTTGAGTAGTAACTCCGTCTCCCACGTATCGTAGCTGGCCTAGTGTTTATTAAACTTTTTTTTTTTTTTTTTTTTAACTGCAATACCGTGGTATTTATTTGCGTAGAGCGCAGAAAGAACCCGTCCAGCGCTCATAGTGGGAGAAAGGCTTGACCTTGCAGGCGACAGCCTCATCCCAAATTCCTGGTCCCTGGAGAACATCAGCCCCCCGACCCCATCCCCTGGTCTCCCGCTGCTGCAGTGTGGCCTGTGTGGCCTCGGCTGCCCTCCTGCTCTGAGGCCAGGGGATGGCTCCGGTGGACAGTGAGGCTGGGATTCCTTGCACACAATTGTTCAGGAGGAAGAAGCAAAAAGGGCCCACTGACTACAGATAGGAAATTCCGCTTTAAGGCAAACGTTCCCCGGGACCGGTCGGGTCACAGCGCAGGGAGGAAGCCCGCCCTGCTAGGGGCTGGGTCTGGAACCTGTTCATCCGGCTGCACTCAGCACTGTGAGATGGCTTCCTCTGTCACTCAGTGCCCAGGAGGCGGGACCTGGAGCACTATCCAATCAGAGTCGCGGGCAGGTTCCTGAGAACTGTCAATCAGGGCCGCTGCGGAAAGGAGGGTGTGACGTTCTAGAAGCTAGTGGCCTCTTCACCCTGGTGACCTCTGTTCCGTGTTCTGTCACTGAGAGACGCCCTGGGACATCTGTGGTGGCTTCTGTCGCGCTGGGACCTACCCTGGCTACGGGAGGAGTTGGGAGGACCCGGGACACCGCACAGCCGGGAAATGGTGAGTGTGCGGGGCCCGGCGTCCTGAGGCAGGGCGAAGGACTGGTCAGAACCAGTCGGAACCGGCTGTGGCGGGACCCGGGCCTCCCCACAGCATCTTTGGGGTCTGGGACCCGAGCCCCCATGTGCACCTCGGTCCTCGGTTCCTTTGGACGCAGGGTGGGGCTGGGCCGGCAGCCGGGACCCCGGGCGTCCTGTCCCGTCCCTGAGCGGCGACTGCGGCCCCGGCCCCCCTCTCTGGGCAGCTCCACGCCCACAGCCCCGCGTCTCCCCATATTGTGCGGCGGAACCGGCATAGGCTCGCGGCCCGTGTCATTGCACCCGGACGCCGAGGGCTGCAGCAGAAACAGTTTAATAGGAGAGGACACCCTAGATCCGCCTCCGTGAGAGGTTTGGGGATGGGGTGTTTAGGGGCCTGGACGGGGTTGGTTGGGATGTGGGGTCGCTGGTTGGTGGAGAAGTGAGGGGTGAGTCCTGGAACTGGAGGTGAAGAAACCGTATTCTCCTGCTGAGTGGGCTCCCTTGTGGGGTCTTCAGCCTGCTTGGCGCCAGCAAGGCATTCAAGATCTGAGAAAGGACTTAGACGACTCTTGAGCAACTCTCAGAGGTCTTATCCCCAGGCACAGTGGGGAAACCGGCGGTCAGCGTCTGCTGTGACCTGACTCTCAGGGAGGCGGCCCCGTGAGGCAGCGGGGCTGGGGGCACCTGTTTAATATCTAACTGCAATCTCGCCTCCAGCCTGGCTCGCAGTTCCTGTGAGCCCGGTGAGGAGGCTGCTTGGTGAAGACGGGAGGGTCGCTAGGCACAAACCAGACACAAACACAGTTCCTGCTGTGGTCTCTGTGGTCTTCAGACCCTTCTTTCTTTCCAAGGGCGACCATTTCCCCTCCGAGCCTTTCAAAGATATGAGCATCAGGGTCTCAGAGACCTGTCCCTTCATCCTAACTCCTCTTGGGGTTAACGTAAATTTTTTGGTTTCCAGAGCCTTCTATATGCTAACTTCACTCCTCAATTCCCAGTAACATTATGAACCCTTTGTCCCAAGATGATATTTCAAATAGACACAGAATTTTGTCGTTTGTTTTCAGATAGCAATATGTGGCTCTTTTTAAAAGGATTTATTTTGTTCCTTAACATTTAACATGTAAGGAAGAAGAGAATAACCACCTGACACTCTGTTGTAAAAAAAACAAAAAACAAACAAAAAAACAAACCTTTGTGCCTCTTTTATCTCCCCTAGGCACAGATGCTTTATCAGAATGTCCTTTACAGGGTGATGTGACCTCAGCCCACCCTGTATCTTTCCAGGCCCTGTGTTATGAAACTTTCTGGGGCTACCCTAAATGCTGGAAGCTGCCAATCTCATGGAGGGCCTAGTGGATATCAGCCCTTGGGTCACTCTTCCCAGAGGACAGTCTGAGGTGTTGGGGTGGGGCCTCCCAAAGGACCAGGTGGATGCCCTGGGGTGGGATGAATCTTCAGGTATATCATTCCTGTAAAAAGCTAACCCCCGGGCTGGGCGCGGTGGCTTATGCCTATAATCCCAGCACTTTGGGAGGCCGAGGTGAGAGGATCACCTGACGTCAGGAGTTCAAGACCACCCTGGCCAACATGGTGAAACCCTGTTTCTACCGAAAATACAAAAAACTAGCTGGGCGAGGTGGCGGGCGTCTGTGGTCCCAGCTACTCGGGAGGCTGAGGCAGGAGAATGGCATAAACCCGGGAGGTGGAGCTTGCAGTGAGCTGAGATCCGGCCACTGCACTCCAGCCTGGGCGACAGAGCGAGACTCCGTTTCAAAAAAAAAAAAAAAAAAACTAACCCCTGGGACATTGACATTTTTTTCTCCAAGCCTAGTTTCCATTCCTTGGTGACACATGGCAAATTGGATAGTGTTATTCAGGGGACAAGACAAATGATTTCTGCCTTCTGGACTCTCTCTGACTGTGAAACTAGAAAACTGTATCTAAAAATTGGAAAACCCACCCAATGAGGTTTCACAAGAGCCTGAAAAAGACATAAGGCAGTGTCTACTAGGAATGTGGTTGCTGAGCACTTCAGTGAGCACCTTGAGGCTGGGGGATGTGCCAGGTGATAGAACGACCTGACCTGACAGTTGAGTCAGACTTGTCCAGTCAGTTCTGCCCCATCCTGGGTTAGTTAACCTGAAAAGATTTGTTCAATTATTTCAAATTTAATTTTTTTTTTTTTTTTTTTTTTTTGAGACGGAGTCTCACTCTGTCGCCTGGGCGACAGAGTGTAGTGGTACCATCATGGCTCACTGCAGCTTAGGCAGCCTAGACTGCCTGGGCTCAGCCTCTGGAGTAGCTGGGAGTACGCCACCATGCCCTACTAATTTTTGTGTCTTTTGTAGTGATGGGGTTTCCTCCTGTTGCCAGGCTGGTCTTGAAGTCCTGGGCTCAAGTGATCTCCTGCCTTGGCCTCCCAAAGTGCTAGGATTACAGGCATGAGCCACTGAACCCAGGCCCTATTCCATTTTCTAAAAACTTTTTTTCTTTTCTTTCTTTCTTTTTTTTTTTCTTTGAGATAGAGTTTCACTATGTTGCCCAGGCTGGAGTGCAATGGCACGATCTCGGTTCACTGCAACCTCTGCCTCGTGGGTTCAAGCAGTTCTTCCTCAGCCTCCCGAATAGCTGGGATTACAGGAATGCATCACCACGCCTGGCTAATTTTTGTGTTTTTAGTAGAGACGGGGTTTCATCATGTTGGCCAGGCTGGTCTTGAACTCCTGACCTCAGGTCGTCCGCCCGCCTCAGCCTCCAAAAGTACTGGGATTACAGGTGTGAGCCACTGCGTCCGGTCTTTTTCTTTTTTTTTTGAAACAAGGTCTTGCTCTGTTACCCAGGAGTGCTGTGGTATGATCTCAGCTCACTGCAACCTCTGCCACCAGGGCTCAAGTGATCCTCCCACCTCAGCCTCCCAAGTAGCTGGGACTACAGGCGTGCGCCACCATACCTGGCTAATTTTTGTGTTTTTGGTGGAGACGGGGTTTCACCATGTCACCCAGGCTGGAGCATTTTTTAAAAACTTTTATTTACTTTTATTACCCCAGAGACCATGTAATAGGTTTATTATATCTTTTGTTGGATGATTTCAAATGGAATTTCAGGGCCTAGCAGTGGAAATACTACCAAGGGAAAAATTTGGGGAAAACTCTTCCATTTTGGCTGCAGAAAAAATGAATATATTTTCACAAGAATGTGTGGTAGGTATCTGATTGAATTATTTTATTTATTTATTTATTTTTTGAGACGGAGTCTCGCTGTGTCGCCCAGGCTGGAGTGCAGTGGCCGGATCTCAACTCACTGCAAGCTCCGCCTCCCGGGTTCACGCCATTCTCCTGCCTCAGCCTCCCGAGTAGCTGGGACTACAGGCGTCCGCCACATCGCCCGGCTAGTTTTTTGTATTTTTTAGTAGAGACGGGGTTTCACTGTGTTAGCCAGGATGGTCTCGATCTCCTGACCTCGTGATCCACCCGTCTCGGCCTCCCAAAGTGCTGGAATTACAGGCTTGAGCCACCGCGCCCGGCCTATCTGATTGAATTATAAAACTTTACCAAAACTTTAGTTTCTTTTCTTTTTAGGCTGGAGAGCTTGGGACAGTGGATAAGTCTGGTCTGTTCCTGTTATCTGGACTTGGCAGATTAATGCAACATTCTGTGGGATTTTGCAATAGCTAAGGAACTTAAATATCATTTGTTTACTAAAGGCTTCATCATTATGGAAATAGTAACTGATGTTTATTATCTGAGATGGATACTTGTGCTTTTCTTGTTGAGCTCTAAAATAGAAGTGACTTACAATTTCCTTCCCTCATATAAACACTGAATTTGAGTGATTTTGATAGATTCATCACATGTGGGGTTTTGTTTGTTTTATTTTTTAAATCCATGTAAGGCATGGAAGGGTAAGCAAATAGCCTTGACTAGGGTGGAGAGGCTTGAGGCCTGTGACTCCAAGTGGAGGCCAATTTTCAGCCTGCAAAGGGACACTGTGTGCCCAGTTTAGTTGGTTCTTCTTGGGGAGCTTCCCCTGCAGGTGTCCTAGCCTAATCACTCCAGCAATAGGAGGAGCCTTTTTTTTTTTTTTCTTTTTTGAGACGGAGTCTTGCTCTGTCTCCCAGGCTATAGTGCAGTGCTATGATCTCGGCTCACTGCAACCTTCGCCTCCTGGGTTCAAGTGATTCTCCTGCCTCAGCCTCCTGAGTAGCTGGGATTACTGGTGTGTGCCACCATGGCCAGCTAATTTTTGTATTTTTAGTAGAGATGGGGTTTCACCATGTTGGTCAGGCTGGTCTCAAGCTCCTGACCTTGTGATCCGCTGGCCTCGGCCTCCCAAAGTGCTGGGATTACAGGCATGAGCCACTGTGCCTGGCCTGGGAGGAGCCTTTTTTTTTTTTTTTTTTTTTTTTTTTGAGATGGAGTTTCGCTCTTGTTGCCCAGGCTGGAGTGCAGTGGCGTGATCTCAGCTCACCACAACCTCCGCCTCCCGATTTCAAGCAATTCTCCTGCCTCAGCCTCCTAAGTAGCTGGGATTACAGGCATGTGCCACCATGCCTG